TGTTCTCTTCTTCCCAGAAAGACCCTCTCTGGCCAGACTACACTTCTCCCAGACCTCTCCCTCTCCCTAGTCAGACTAATCTGGAATCCTTTTAAAAATCAGATTTCTTGATTAAATAATACTTAAAACTTTGTTGTTCTGATGTGGAAATGAATCCAGAAGCCCTCAGAGTGCCTCTGAAAGCCCCTTGCATGGTACAAAGTCACGCTGACATTCCTTTCTCACTTGGCAGTGCCTCCTTCAGCCATCCTACTCTCTCAGACCTGTTATGTTCAATTGCAAAATCTGCTGAGAAACCAAACCTAGGGGTTTGACCTAAACCACTAACAGCTTGCAGATAGCAGTAGCTTATACAGTCACAATGAAGAGTTTGGGTTTTGGAATCAAACAGACTGGGGCCTGAAGCTCACTTTCAACTAGTTAGTCTTTTTTTAGGGCTTCTTTCTCCCCCCCCACCCCACCTCACTTTTGTTGTAGTGAAAACATGCATAACAAGACATTTGCCAACATACCAACTTCCACATCTACAGCTCAGGGACATTGATGACATTTTTCCATGTTGTGCCACCATTATTGCTGTCCTTTTTCAAAATATTCCACCATCATTAGCATAAGTTCAATGGCCCCTTGCCAACAAAAACTTCCCTTTTCCCCCTCCCTCCTACCCCTGGTAACTACTAATAATTTTCGGTTTCTGTTTTTCAACCTCTTTAGGAGTTTTTCCTCCCCTCCCTCATAACCAACAAAGTTTCCTTCTGTGTATAAACCATTCCTTGACTTTTTACAATAGTGGACTAATACAATATTTGTCCTTCTGTGAGTGACTTATTTCACCCAGCATAATGTCTTCCAAGTTCATCCACATTATGCGGTGTTTTGCAGATTCTACATTATTCTTTAGGGTTGCATAATATTCCATTGTGTATATATACCACAGTTTGTTTATCCATTCCTTGGTTGATTGGCACTTAGGTTGTTTCCATCTTTTTGCTATTGTGAATAGTGCATATATCTTTTCGTGGCTCTTCTTTAGGAAATATACCTAGTAATGGGATTCCTGGATCAAATAGTATTTCTATTTCCAGCTTTTTAAGGAATCACCAAACCTATTTCCACAGTGTCAACCAATTAATCTTTAAGCCTCAGTTTCCTTATCTATAACATGGGGATAACTGTAGATCCTCCATCATAGGGTTGCTGAGTGTATCTGATGGATTTTATTGTCTATGGAGCCCCGGGCAGAGTGCCTGGCTCTTACCCAACTTACCTGGTTCTTAGGTTTCTTCTCACTTTTGGCAGATTACAGAAGCAGGGGACACTGCCTCAGCTCTTGTAGACATACAAGGCGCTTTCTTTAAGGAAGTGTCTCTCTTCGATTTGTGGAGGGAACCTGGATTCAACTCTACAGTCCTAAAGGAAAAGGAGCTTCGGAGCAGTCAGGTATAACGTTGATTCCCACAGAGCATGCCTGCATTTCTGACTACCTGCCTTCTCGGGAGACACCCTGGGTGATACAGACTGTTCATGTGCTCATCAGCTAACTGAAAGGTTGGTGGTTTGAAGGCATCTAGGCATGCCTGGGAAGAAATGCCTGGTGATCTACTTTGACAACCCTGTGGAGTGTGGGTTCTACTCTGAAACACAGGGTGTCACCATGAGTGGGAATCAGCTCAATGACAAGTTTCTGTCTTTTTTTTTTTGTCTTCTCAAGAAGGTCAATTTTAAGGTTACTGTAATTTGGTAAAAGAAGTGTACTTCTGTGTGATTAAATCCAGGAGGCTGAATAGCATAGTGTTAAAATGTTAGATAAAGACTTGAGCACGACCTCAGGCTCTGCCACTTATTAGCTTTTGGGGAGCTACTTTTCCTTGGTGGCCTCAGTTTTCTCATGTGTACATGCACACACGCACTGCTGTCGAGTCGGATCCGACTCATAGGGACCCCTTGGGCTTCCAAGGCAGTATCACTATGGAAGTAGATTGCCCAACCTTTGTTCTGAGGAGTGGCTAGTGGGTTTGAACCGCCAGTCTTCTAGCTAGCAGTCAAGTGCCTTAAGTGCTAGGCCATCAGAGCTCCTTTGTCATGTGTAGAGTGAGGATAATTTCTCATATGACTCAGTGATTGTGGTAGTTAAGGTTTTGTGTCAACTTGGCTGGGCCTGGTTTTGAGTGGCTGGGCAGCTGGATGTAGTTGTTCCCCATGATGAGATTGGTAATGAGCTCCATGGTGGAATCTACTGGAGCATTTGAGTAGCTGCCTTAGGAATGTGGTCTGCTTCCAGTACACAAGGAGAAGTTGTGAGAGGGTCTTGTCAGCTTTATGGAATGCTTGGACACTGCTTATAGCCGAGTCTTCATTTAGCAGCTTGCCGTGTTTCCTGATGATCTTGGGACTGTCTCGGGACTTGAACTAGTGGCCTGCCGTATTGTGTGGTCATATTGGGACTGTGCCATTGTATTTGTCGACTTTGGGTTTGTCAGTCTCAGCAGCCAGCAGCTGCCTGAGTGAAGAGACACCTCCAGCTCCAGTGTCTGACCAAATGACTGGGCACATAGACTAGCCAAGCTGACACGTAAAATTCACCATTGTACTCTTTTGGGGGAGCATGGTGCTATCAAGTCTGAGGCATTACATTTAGAACTTTCCCCAACTTTCTTTTCACTCAGTCAGCCATTCATTTCATTCATTCATTGAAGGTTTACTGAATGTTTCCTGAAAAGTGACAGGCACTGTTCATGGTGCTGGGCATGCAGACTGAACAAAACAAAGCTCTTGGCTCTCCTGGGGCTTCTGTTCTAGTGGAAGGAGATGGATAAGAAATGATTTTTAAAGTAAAATATACACTCTGTTAGGTGACGATGGAGTCCCTGGGACTGTTTACGTGCTTGGCTGCTAACCTAAACGTTGGAAGTTCAAGTCTACCCAGAGGCACCTCAGAAAAAAAAAGCCTGACAACCTACTTCTGTAAAATGAGCCACTGGCAACCTAATGGAGAACAGTTCACCTCTGACACACATGGCGGTCGCCATGCGTAGGAGTCAATTTGACAACATCTAGCTACTGGTTAGATGACACTAAGTGGTCATGAAGAAAGTAAAGAACAGAGCAAAAGCATTCTGGAGGGTGGGGAATGAGGAATTTTTGATGGAATAACGAGGGACCACCTCATCAATAGGGGCCATTTGAGCACAGAGTTGATGGAGAGGAGGGAGGGAGTCATGAAGCTACCTGGGGAAGAGTGTTCTAGGTAGAAGGAACAGCTGAGCCTGGAGTCTGAGGAATAGCAAGGAGGCCAGAGGAGCTAGAGTGATGTGAGGGGAGAAGAGGCCTAGGGGCTGGAGTGATGTGAGGGGAAAAGAGGCCTAGGGGCTGGAGTGATGTGAGGGGAAAAGAGGCCTAGGGGCTGGAGTGATGTGAGGGGAGGGTAGTAGGAGGAGAAGTCAGAGGTTATGGAGGGGCTGCTCATTGGACCTTGTAGGCCATTGTGAGAATGCTGATTTCTATCCTGGGTGAGAAGAGGAGCTATGGAGGGTTTGAGAAAAGACGTCATCTGACTTGTATTCTAAAACGTTTCACCCAGCTGTTGTGTGGGCTCCAAACTGAGGCAAGCAAGGGTGGAAGCCAAGAGCCCAGTGAGGAAGTTACTACATAATCCAGGTGGGAGGTATTAGTGGCTTGAATGGAGTGGTGACAATACAGGTGGTGACCAATGGTCAGATTCTGGATATATTTTGAAGGTAAAGCCAGTGAAATTTTCTGTCAGGTTGGATATGGGGTGTGATAGAGTGGGATCAAAGATGACGAACCAATGATCTCTTTCTGTGTAACAAACTACCTCCAAATTTAGTAGCTTAAAACACTGGCAATCGTTTGATTATTTTCTTGCATAATTCTTGGGGGTTTCTTGCTCATGATATCTCAGAGGGTTGGATTAAGATGGTGGCTGGGGCTAGAACCATCTGGAGGCTGGGTCTGATATGTGGGCTGGCAAGACTCAAGCAGCTGAGGGCACCTCTCTCTATCTCCATGTGATTTCTCTAGCTCTGTGGCTTCAGGGTGGCTTCCAGGTGGCTAGACTTGTTACATGGGTGGTTCAGGGCTCCCCAGGTTCAGGGCTCTCCCCGTTGGTGACTTAACCTTAGAAATCACAGTGTCACTTCTGCTGTGCTCTATTCATTAAGGTATGACAAAGGCCCCCTCAGGTTCAAGCACAGGGAACGTAGACCCCACCTCTTGATGGGGACAGTGATGAGGTTCTGGAAGAGCCTGTTGGACAGGAAATACAGTTGTGGCCATTTTGGAAAACATATTCTGTCACAGATGACTTCAAGATACTTTTGTCTCAGCAACTATGTTGGTGCAGTTACCATTTCCTGAAATGGAGAGGACCGTGGGAGGGCTACAAAACTTGCCCTTGTGCCTGAGGACATCTCTGGGGCCACGCAGAGGACGTGCTCCTCTGTTGTTTTTTGCCTGGGTCTTTATGATGCTTAAGGACCTCAGCTGCCATGTCACAGATGCCTCCACATAACTCTAGCTCATAATTTATTCTGCTTGGGGAATTACGTTCAAAGTTACAGAGTCTATAAAATAGATGGATATCATACTTGATCGCATCTACAAGTTAGGTATTCTGCAAAATTACATTCCTTAAAACAAACGACTCCCCTGACTACTATGTGTTGTTCTCCTAGAGTGCTCATCTGGGAGGATTTGAGGAGAGTGCACGCTGTGAATAGGAGTTACTTTATTGGTGGTACTTTCTAGTATGGCCTGGTCTATCCATCTGTCTTTCACTTTTGCTTTCTGGGGTGTTGTGTGTTTAGGAATAAGTAGGTGGAGATGTAAATAGAGGTTACAAAGAGTCCTCGACTTTGGTCAGCAGCTTCATAAAGCATAGGAGGCAGACCTCCAACCTTACTGCCTGTTGCCTTTGCTCCTCATCCGCTCTTAGAACATAGGGAGTGTGGCAGTTAGGGTTATGTGTCAACCTGGCCGGGCCTGGTTTTGAGTGGCTGGGCAGCTGGTGGTGGTTATTCCCCATGATGAGACTGGTGATCAACTCCATGGCGGAATCTTCCATGAGCTGAGTAGCTGCTTTAGGGATGTGGTCTGCTTTCTGTATGTAAGGAGAAGCTTTGAGAATGGTCTCATCTTTTTGGCATGCTTGGACCCTGCATAGCTATCTTCTTCAGCAGCCTGCCATGCTCTGCTAATCTTGAGACTTTTAATGGACTTGAATCAATGACCTGGAGACTGATTTGGTAATATCAGGGAGTTTGTAATTTTACTTGTTAACCTTAAGTTTGTCAGCCTCAGCAGCCATCAGCTGCCTGAGTGAAGAGAAGCCCAAGCTTCAGTGGGCCAGGAGCAAGAGGCAGAGCTGAAGCCCAGGGTCAAGGGGCTTTCACCCAGCCCCTAGAGCCTGGCACCTTGAACTTGGACTTCCAGCCTCCAAAACTAGAAGAGATTAAACTCCTGTTTGTTAAAGCTATTGCACCTGTGAATATTATTTCTATTAGAATGGCATAAAGTAACCAAAACAGGGAGTTACCAGGAGTGTGTGCACAGGGGCTCTGGAATTATATGGACACCAGTTCAAATCTCAGGTCTGCTACTTAGCAATTGTATGGGCCTGGGTGAGTGGCAAAGGAGCTCTATTGGCACAGTAAAGGAGCTCTGGTGGCATAGTGCCTAAGACATTTGACTGGTAACCAGAAGGCTGGTGGTTCAAACCCACCAGCCTCTCTGTGGAAGGAAGATGGGGCAATCTACTTCCATAAAGATTTGTTGTTGTTGTTGTTGTTATGTGCCGTCGAGTCAAACCCGACTCATAGCGACCCCTCCTTGGGTTTCCGAGGCAGTATCACTACGGAAGTAGGATTGCCCAGCCTTCCTTCTGAGGAGTGGCTGGTGGGTTTGAACTGCCAGCCGTCTGGTTAGCAGGCAAGTGTCTTAGCCACTATGCTACCAGAAATCCATAAAGATTTACCACCTTGGAAACCCAATGAGAGTTGCTATGTGTTGGAATTGACTCAGTGGCAGTGGGTTTGGTTCTTTGGATTTGGTAGTGGCACAGTGGTTAAGCACTCAGCTGCTAACTGAAAGGTTGGTGGTTAGGGCTTGACAGCTGCTCCATGGGAGCAAGATGTGGCAGTCTGCTTCTGTGAAGATTTACAGCCTTGGAAACTTTATTGGGTGGTTCTACTCTGTCCTATAGAGTTGTGAATGAGTCAGAATCGAACGAGGGCAATGGGTTTGGTTTTTGATTTTGGGTAAATAAAATAACATAAGCAGTGAAGCCTCCATTTTCCCATCTGTACAATGGGATTGTAGCATCCCTTCCTCACAGGGGTTCACGGTGTTGGGCACACAGTGAGTTCTCCATCAACCCTGACATTCTCTTCCCTTAGGCCTTGTTCCTATATGAGCTGCTGTCAAAGACAACCAGAAGGCCCTATGAGCTCCTGAGGTAGGAGAATGTAACTTGCCTGGGGGCTACAAAGCCCTTTGGAGTCTTACTCCAGAGGAGCCTGATTTCCCAGGAGGGAGAGCTGGACAGTCACATCTGTCACCTGTGTCACATCAACTCTGCCTTCTCTCACTCCTTGTTTCCTCTCTGTTCCCCACCCTTCTTCTCCTGGGTCCGTTGTCTCGTTTTCTAGCGCAGGGCAGCTGATCAAAGGTGTGAGGTGCTCACACATTGAAGCCATGAGCGTGGACTCCTTCCTGGCCAGTTTCCAGTATTTTGAGAACAGCCTCTCCATGCTGTCACCGTATCAGGTATCGTCAAACATGTTCCTGCTTTTGATTTCTCTCTCTACCCAGGTCGCTAGTCTGGGTTGACTGTGATGGCCAAAGATACTTCTGTCAGATTTGTCCAGGTGCAGCTAATGATTTGGGGCAAAATAGTGAGCCCGATCTTCTCCAGTTTATTTTTTAAAAGGTCTAAATACTCCTATCATCAGTCAAAGTTTCAGCAGATTGCTCCTTCCATACTCAGATTTGAACCTTAAAATGTATTTGTAGGTGTCCCATCTTGCATGTTCATAATTATGGTCTCCTGGGCTGGAATCAATCCCTAACAGTCCTGTCCTTCCTGAATGTGAGCAAGAGTCTAAGAGAATTGTCTTTTTCATTTCCAAACTGTTGTAGAGACTCTTCAACCCTTAGGGAGACAAGAGGCAATAACCGACTTTTCATAGTATCTAAGCAAGTACAAAGGAGCTCTGATGGTGTCATGGTTAAAGCATTGGGCTGCTAACCAAAAGATCAGCAGTTCATACCCACCAGCCACTCTGTAGGATAAAGATGAGGCAGTCTGCTTCTGTAAAGATTTACAGCCTTGGAAACCCTATGGGGCAGTTCTACTCTGTCCTCTGGGGTCACTATGAGTGGGAATTGATTTAAGAGCAGTGGGTTTGGCTTTTTGGTTAAGCAGGTATAAAGGTCTCTGGCTGTACAGTTTACTTGGCTAATAACCTAAAGGCTGGTAGTTCAAATCCATCAGTGATGCTGCCAAAGAAACGCCTGGTGATCTGCTTCTGTAAAGATTAAAAATCCATTGTCACTGAGTCGAATCAGATTCATCGTGACCCTAGACGACAGAGTAGAACCAACCCATAGGGTTTCAAGGCTATAATCTTTCTGGAGGCAGACTGCCCCATCTTTCTCCTGCAGAGTGGCTGGTGGGTTCGAACCTTAGCAGCTGAGCGCTTAACTGTTGCATGACCAGGGTGCCTTCCCATAAATATTACACCCAGGAAAACCCTATGGAATAGTTCTACTCTGTAACTCATGTGCTCACCATGAGTGGGAATCTACTCGATGGTGGCAAGTGAAGGAAAGTGTCTAGGCTGTGAGTGTAAATTGTTAGCTCTCTACGGAATCCCGAGAGGGCGAGCAAGTGAGTAGGCAAGGTGTTTTCCCAACTCTGGTGCCGGTGTGCTTTAGACCGGAACTCAAAGTTTCCCACTAGTGAATTGGAAATACATTGGTATATTATCCCTTCAATCATTAGGGCATGTGCAGTTTTAATGAAGCCCTGTTATCCCTTGGATTGTATATTATATCTGTGGTTCTCAAACATGAGCTTCCATGAGCATCACCTGGAAGGCTTTTTAAAACACCAATTGTGGGGGCCCCACCCCAGATTTTCTGTAGGTCAGTCTGGGATGAGGCCCCAGAATTTGCATTTCTAACCAGTTCCCAGGTGAGAACAACTGCTTGCTAATAAAAGCCCTGGCCAAACACGGAAGGTGATACCAGATCAAATGGATGGAGGTCAGACCTACATCGAGGAAGACCTACATGTTCAAGCAGGAAGAGTTGCCCCAACAAACTACGTACCCAGACTCTCCCCAGTTCCCAGAACCTTCAAATACCAGTTAATTAGAAAATCTGTCTTTATTATTTTCATTTTTGCTGAAGACACATAAATAATCATTATGTATTTATAAAAGTAAATACAGAGAAAGTCAAAGTTCTCTTAATCTGCCTGTACAGCAGCAGTTCTGAATTGAGCAGGAGATAATTTTGTCCTCCAGGGAACATTTGACAAAATCTGGAGACATTTTTGGATGTCGTAGTGTGTGTGTGTGTGTGGGAGGGCTGTTGGAAGCCAGTGGACAGAGGTAAGGGTGCTGCCATGCTCTCTACAAGGCGTGGGACAGCCTCCAACAATAAAGACCAGAAACCAAACCAAACCCACTGCCGTTGAGTCGGATCCCACTCACAGCGACTCCTCCTTGTGTTTCTGAGGTGGTACCACTGTGGAAGTAGATTGCCCAACCTCCTAAATGTCAATAGTGCTGGAGTTCAGAAACCCTTGGTTAGAAGTAACTGCAGTGAAAAGTTTGCTATTGCCTTTGAAACTTTTTTAAATAAATGAAACATTTATATGTAATTTTAAAACACAATTGAGCTTATTATACATACTGATCTGGTTCACTTTATAATAAGGAGCCCTGGTGGTGCAGTGGTTAAGTGCTCAGCTGCTAAATGAGAGATGGGCAGTTCGAACTCACCAGCCGCTCTGTGGGAGAAAGATGAAGCAGTCTGCTTTCATAAAGATTTATAGCCTTGGAAACCCTATGGGGCAGTGCTACTCTGTACTGTCGGGTCACTATGAGTTGGAATAGACTCTATGGCAGTGGGTTTTTGGATTTTTATATAAAATAAGGCATAGGCATAATTTCATATTAATATATATAAATCTACCTTGTTGTCGTTGTTGTTATGTGCCATTGAGTCTGAACTGACTCATAGCGACCCCTCCTTGGGTTTCCAAGGCAGTATCACTATGAAAGTAGATTGCCCCATCTTCCTTCCGAGGAGTGGCTGATGGGTTTGAACCACCAGCCTTCTGGTTAGCAGTCAAGTGCCTTAGGCACTACGCTACCAGAGCTCCCAAAATCTACCTTATTAAACCAAAATAGTTGCATAGTATTCCATTGTATGCTTAAACCATAGCTTGCATCATAGTTTACTTAACTGATTCCTGCTGAGGGACATTAAGGTTGTATCTCAGTTTATTGTGGTTATGAACAAAACTGTGAGGTGCAGCCTCATACTTAAATTTTGTGTGTCTCTCATTATTGCCTTCGTTTCCTCATCCATATAATGGGCACAGTGATGGTACCTACAGTACAGGATGTTATATTAATTAAGTGAACATCTATAAAGCACTTAAGGAGCTCTAGTGGTGTAGTGCCTAAGGCATATGACTGCTAACCAGAAGGTTGGCAGTTCAAACCCATCAGCCACTCTGCTGGAAGAAAGATGGGGCAACCTACTTCTGTAAAGATTTACTGCCTCAGAAACCCAATGGGGTCACTATGAGTCAGAATTGACTCGATAGCAGTGAGTTTTTGGAAGCATATAGAACAGTGCCTGGCACACAGAAAGGACTATTTGTGATGATTTAGGACCAAATATTGAGCCATGTTTATAATAATAGTAATTTATAGTATTGATAACTATTTATAATAATAATTATTGAACTAAATTCCTAGACCTGTTTCATCCTTTCAGATTAATTGCTTGGCGTGGAAATATTGGCAAGTGTCCAGGTCCTCTATGCCACCTTTTCTTTTGGCCGCGCTTCCGTAAGTGAACATGGGTCCCACTTTCTGACTGAGCAGTAAGACTGGTGGGAATCACTCAAACCAAAGCGACTCTCTCCCCTCGGTCTTCATAAGGAATGAGAGGCTGAGCAGAGGATGTCTTAGTTAAGTTCTTGAGGACCAGGATTTAGATTCTGAGCCCCACCTAGGCACTTCAGAAGACCCTCTTGCTCCCTTGGTACTATAAACCAAAGTGAAAGTAACCCAAGCTTGAGTGGGTTGCCAGTGAGGGCGGTCCCACCTGAGCTGGCCTCTCCTGTGCCCACACTCCAGGGGAACCAGGGCTGATGTGGGCAGTGGAGAGTCTCTTGGATGCTCAGGCTCCAGCCCTGTGGGGAAGCCCTCCTTTTCAAACACTGTCTGGGCACAGTTTCTCTCCTGTTCTCTTTCTTCATTTCTTTCTCCCGCTTCTTCCTGTTCTTGTCTTCATACATTCAAAAATACAGTTATTGAGTGCTTACTCTGTGTTTGTTTTCAGAGATAATGGAATTTTTCCTGTGTAAGAGATTACAATCTCATTGGGGAAAATAGATAAGCATGAAGCCAATTTTAATATCAAGTTGATATTTGTTTGAAAGTGACAGAATCTTAAACTGGCTGTTGTCTAATAGAAAGGAAGTTTTTGGTTCAAAGTACTGAAAAGTTCAGGGATGGACTTCAGGCAGAACTGGATCCAGGGGCTCAAACGATGTCATTTATCTCCCTGTCCGTGACCTAGTTTTCCTCTGTTGACTTCACCCTTAGGCAAATTCTTTTTCTGTGGTGGCCCCTGGCATTCCAGGGTTCCATGTTCTCAGCTTCACATTCAAGAAAAAGAGAAAGACTTTCTTCCCATCATTCTCAATAAAAGTAATGAGTCTGATGTTTGTTGGCATAATTTTGGCCAGATTGCTCTCCTTGAGCCAGTCACTGGAGTTGGGAGGATGAATAGCTTTGACTGGGTTTAGTCTACATTGCATTCCTGGAGTTACCCTCATTAAACTTACAGTAAAGGGGTGGTACTCCATCAAACCTAGGTATAATGGACACTGGGCACAGAGGAGGGACTGTCTCCTTAATACTGGAGAGTCAGGGAAGACTGAACAAAACCTTGAGAGAGATTAAGGTGGGTCCTTCAGGAAGCTGCATAGGAGATGTCCTGTTCAGTGGTGGATGAGGAAGAGAAGCACTCGGGAACACACGGTGTGTGCACGCAGAGTGGTTGGGAGAAAGAATGCAATGAAAATTAGGGCAGTCTGATCGCAAAGGGCCTTGCATGATGCTCTGAGGTATTTCACTTGTGCTCTGAGTACAGCCATTGGATGTGTGTTTCAGACAGATCTTTGTCCCTGTTTGTGTGGAGAAGGGGATGCAGGGTGTCTGAAGAAGGGAGACAGCAGAAGCTTATTTCAGTAACCAACACCTGGCATGGCTGGCTCCTTCCACTCATTCATGTCTCAGCTGCCCTAGAAGTGGCTCTCCCATTACCCCTATCATTGTTTGCTATTACAGAACCATTTTATTTTCCTCCTTACATTTATTATTAGCTGAAATGCCTGCTTTGGTCATTGGTTTGCGTATTTCTTTCCCCTACTAGAATGTGAGCACCACGAAAGCAGGGGCCACTTGTACTTTGTTCATTGCTGTGACTTGTACCCAGTATAGTGCCTGGCTCGCTGTGGATGCTCTGTAGGTATCTGCTGAATGAATGAATGAAGAAACAAATGAGACAGTGGTACTGGGAATGGAGAGGTGGGAACAGACTTGTGCAGTATTAAGGAGAGGGTAATGAAGAGTTTGGGGATAAGGGGAAGGATCTAGGATAGCACAGAGGAGGAGTCCCTGGTACAAACTGTTAATGCACTTGGCCACTAACCGGAAGCTTGGAGGTGTGAGTCCACCCAGAGGTGCCTCAGAAGACGGGCCTGGTGATCTGTTTCTAAGACATCAACCAGCCTAAACCCTGTAGAGTGAGTCCTGTTCTGCTCTGATACACATGGGTCATTATAAGTCGGAATCAACAACAGTGGATGGTGGTGAGCACAGAGGGGGAAGCCCATGTACACGTTTGCAGTTTAGCTGTTTGGAATATTCAAGTGATGATGACTAGGCTCATAGGTCTAGGCAGTGTTTCTCAACCTTTATTTTTAAAACCACTTTGTTGAGATATAATCTGCATACCATAAATCCCATCTATTTATAGTATACAATTCATTGGTTTTCAGTATATTCACAAATATGTGCAACTATGGTCAGTTTTAGAACATTTTCATCATCACAAAGGGAAACCCCATGTCCTTTAGTCATCAGTCTCCTGCCACCTTCAGCTCCCTACTCTCAGCAACCACCCAACATACTTTCTGACTCTATTGATTTGCATATGTAGACATTTCACACAAAAAGAATCATGTAATAAGCGGTCTTTTGTGTTTGGCTTCTTTGACTGAGCATAACGTTTTCAGGCTCATCCATGTTGTGGCCTGTATTAGAATTTCATTCCTTTTGATGGAAGGATAATATCCCATTGTCCACTCACCTGTCTTGTGGTAGTTAAGGTTGTGTATCCACTTGGCTGGGCTGTGATTCCGAGTGGCGTGGTGGCTGGATGCAGTTATTCCCCAGGATGAGATTGGATGTGGGGTAATCAACTCAGTGGTGGACTCTGCTTTGTGCAGTTAGTCAGTTGCTTTTTGTGTGTGGCGTGCTTCCAGTATACATGGAGAAACTTGGGAAAGTTCTCTAGCTTTTTGGCACATTGTGGATCCTGCATCTGGCCTAGTCTTCACCTCCAGGTCCTGGACTTGAACCAGTGGCCTGCTGTGCTGCCTGCTGATCGATTCTTCCTGGACTTGAGCCAATGGCCTGCCATGTTGCCTGCTGATCTTGGGATTGTGCCATTTTACCTGTCGATCTTGGGTTCGTCAGCCTCAGCAGCCAGCAGCTGCAGAAGTTAGGACAAGCCTCCAACTCCAATGGGCCTTGAACAAGAGGCAGAGCTAAAGCCCGAGGTCTAGGGGCTTCCTCCACCCAGCCCCTAGAGCCGGCACTCTGAACTCAGAGTTCCAGACTCCTAAACTGTGAGAGAGCTAATTCCTGTTTGTTGAAGCCATCCACTTGTGGCGTTTTGTTATAGCAGCACTAGAGAACTAAGGCATGTCTTAGTCTCCTTTTTATTATCACCTCCTAAGGAGAAAACTTCAATTTCTTCTGATGAAAGAAATTTGTACACTAAAGTTAAGAATTTGCCAAGTAGAGTTGACCATTGGAGGGTCATTGTGGTATTTTGCTTTTAATCCCCAAGAACCAGTTTTCTCCCCATTAAAGGTGACATTGCCCCTGTTGACAATATATGGGGAAGAGCTTAGGGGAGAGTTTGGAGCTGGAGAAGGTGGAACTGGGAGAATCTTTGCCCTTATTTCTCTCTACTCTCTCCTCATCTTTCTTCCTTAATCTCTATTTTAGTCTCTCTCCTCTTTGTCTCTTTCTTTTTCATTTTTTCCTTCCCTTTCTCTTCATTTTCCCTCAGCCAGTCTACCAGTCAACAGAGGTTTATGGAGAACCCATTCTCTGATTGATGCTGCTGGTGTATAGAAAAGGAGCATGGTGGGAAGTTGGTTTCCTGTCATAGAGGAGGACAATGATAGGTGAGAGGTCTGTTTCCTGCCCATACAAGAGAAGCAGGATGGATGGGAGGCTTGCTACCTGCCAGAAAGAGCCACAAAAATCACTGGGGAGGAATAGGCCTGTAAAACACAAAGCATGAACCCTTACATAACTAGAGATTTTAGGTAATATTAAAGTATCAGTATTAGTTCATCC